ATAAGACAAAAAGTAAACTATTAAATGTTATCATGCATATGGATTGAATGTTGTAATTAATAGAGTAATAATAGAAATTATTCTGCCAACCAGCATAAAAGGTTTTCATGCATAAATCACATTTGCCCGCAGATGTAATTTATTACACTAGTTGAAGTAAAGATTACTTTTTCAAAATTGATTTTAGCATATTCAAATAAACATTATTGCTACACCTTCTTCATACAAACAGTATATTTGTAACAAAAATTATTTTCAAATAAATCTTTCAAGTATTTTTTTTTACTGCACATTTATAATTTGATGAGCAATAAAAAAAAACTTTTCTATAGTATCATTGAATAGTGAGTATGTGGTTACATAAATGGGCTATGTGATGAAAAAAAATTACAATGTTATGAATGCCACACACAACATGAGTCCAGCACTTCAAATGTATAACAAAAAATTCACACTTACATATCAAATGACATTCACAATTCAGTAACAGGAGACAGCAAAAGGTCGAGCACGTGTATTGTATCACTGTAATATAAATGGGATTGGATGAGAATCAGAATTAGGCATCAAGTAAAACATTTTATTTTGAAAGCAGTTACCTCTATATTAAAAAACCCGCTCGTTAGGAAACACTATGATCTCCAACACACATTTTGTCAAGAATGACTAAACTAAGCGTTTAAATAATATCATTTTTAAACCTGAAAAAAAATGACGAACATTAGAACTCAAATTATTGCACACAAGATGTGCCTAAAACTATCGTACAAATACTACTCACCCGCACATTGTCATAAAACCACAAACAAAATAAAACTTTAATTTAACATTAAGTTACCGAAAACGTATTAGTTATTATTATTAGTTATTATGTATTTAATATTATTCAGCCACTTTGCAGGTTAAAATAATAAAGGTTATGTTGCGAAAACGAAAAGAACTTTAATAGTTTGATTATGCTTAGTTGTCGAACTTTACCAATTTCAAGATTAGGGTTATGTTATTGCGCAAAAACAGAAAATATTGTAGAATTTATAAAATTATAAACACCGAACTTAATAAGCTCTATAACACGTGAGAATTAAAACGACTATATCTGATAGAGATACTAACACAATGAAATGAACATGCCGATTGCCGCTTAATGCCGCTCGGCAAACCACTGTTAAGATAGTAGCATTAGCATTAAACATGTGTTTCTGAACAATGAGCCAATGAGCGGCGCACTATTTCAAACGTTGCTCTAATGAGAAATTTTGTAACAATTCCGTGTTTCTAGTAGAAACAATTAGTTTCTAGATGCATATATGTTCTGCTCAGTATAAAACGTAATTTAAATTTAGGGACCATTTCAAATATTTCTGTAATAAGAATTTTTGTAGCCATTTTCCTGGTTCAAAAACTATCAGTTTCTAGGAACATATGTTTTGATTAGTATAAAATGTTATTTTGAAAATTTAGGACCATGCCAATTGTTCCTCTAATAAGAATTTCAGTGACCAATTTGTTGGTTCAGAAACAGTTTCAAGGTACATATACGTGGTTTAGTAGAAATGCGATTTTAAAATGTAGGACCATTTCAAATATTTCTCTAATAAGAATTTTTGTGCCATTTCCCTGGTTCAAAAACTATCAGTTTCTAAGTACAATATGTTCTGATTAGTGTAGAGTTTATTTTAAAATTTAGGATCATGCTATTTTTTTTCTCTAATAAGAATTTTTGTTGACCAAATTCCTGGTTTCTAGTAGAACCATTAGTTTCTAGATGCATATATGTTCTGCTCAGTATAAAACGTAATTTAAATTTAGGACCATTTCAAATATTTCTGTAATAAGAATTTTTGTAGCCATTTCCTGGTTCAAAAACTATCAGTTTCTAGGAACATATGTTTTGATTAGTATAAAATGTTATTTTGAAATTTAGGACCATGCCAATTGTTCCTCTAATAAGAATTTCAGTGACCAATTTTTGGTTCAGAAACAGTTTCAAGGTACATATACGTGGTTTAGTAGAAATGCTATTTTAAAATGTAGGACCATTTCAAATATTTCTCTAATAAGAATTTTTGTGCCCATTTCCTGGTTCAAAAACTATCAGTTTCTAAGTACAATATGTTCTGATTAGTGTAGAGTTATTTTAAAATTTAGGATCATGCTATTTGTTTCTCTAATAAGAATTTCAGTGACCAATTTCTGGTTCAGAAACAGTTTCAAGGTACATATACGTGGTTTAGTAGAAATGCTATTTTAAAATGTAGGACCATTTCAAATATTTCTCTAATAAGAATTTTTGTAGCCATTTCCTGGTTCAAAAACTATCAGTTTCTTGGAACATATGTTTTGATTAGTATAAAATGTTATTTTGAAATTTAGGACCATGTCAATTGTTCCTCTAATAAAAATTTCTGTGACTAATTCCTGGTTCAGAAACAGTTTCAAGTTACATAGCGTGGTTTAGTAGAAATGTTATTTTAAAATTTAGGTCCATTTCAAATATTTTTCTGATAAGAATTTTTGTAGCCATTTCCTGGATTAAAAACTATCAGTTTCTAGGTACTTATGTTCTGATTAGTGTAAAATGTTATTTTAAAATTTAGGACCATGCGAATTGTTCCTCTAATAAGAATTCCTGTGACCAATTCCTGGTTCAGAAACAGTTTCAAGTTACATATGCGTGGTTTAGTAGAAATGTTATTTTAAAATTTAGGTCCATTTCAAATATTTTTCTAATAAGAATCTTTGTAGCCATTTCCTGGTTTAAAAACTATCAGTTTCTAGGTACTTATGTTCTGATTAGTGTAAAATGTTATTTTAAAATTTAGGACCATGCGAATTGTTCCTCTAATAAGAATTCCTGTGACCAATTCCTGGTTCAGAAACAGTTTCAAGTTACATATGCGTGGTTTAGTAGAAATGTTATTTTAAAATTTAGGTCCATTTCAAATATTTTTCTAATAAGAATCTTTGTAGCCATTTCCTGGTTTAAAAACTATCAGTTTCTAGGTACTTATGTTCTGATTAGTGTAAAATGTTATTTTAAAATTTAGGACCATGCGAATTGTTCCTCTAATAAGAATTCCTGTGACCAATTCCTGGTTCAGAAACAGTTTCAAGGTACATATACGTGGTTTAGTAGAAATGTTATTTTAAAATTTAGGACCATTTCAAATATTTTTCTAATAAGAATTTTTGTATTCATTTCCTAGATTAAAAACTATCAGTTCCTAGGTACTTATGTTCTGATTAGTGTAAAATGTTATTTTAAAATTTAGGACCATGCGAATTGTTCCTCTAATAAGAATTCCTGTGACCAATTCCTGGTTCAGAAACAGTTTCAAGGTACATATACGTGGTTTAGTAGAAATGTTATTTTAAAATTTAGGACCATTTCAAATATTTTTCTAATAAGAATTTTTGTATTCATTTCCTAGATTAAAAACTATCAGTTTCTAGATACATATATGTTCTGATTAGTGTAAAATGTTATTTTAAAATTTAGGACCATGCTAATTGTTTCTCTAATAAGAATTTCAGTGACCAATTCCTGGTTCAGAAACAGTTTCAAGGTATATATATATATATGTTGTTTAGTAGAAATGCTATTTTAAAATGTAGGACCATTTCAAATATTTCTCTAATAAGAATTTTTGTACCCATTTCCTGGTTCAAAAACTATCAGTTTCTAGGTACAATATGTTCTGATTAGTGCAAAATGTTATTTTAAAATTTAGGACCATGCCAATTGTTTCTTGAATAAGAATTTTTGTAGCCAATTCCTGGTTCAAAAACAGTTTCTAGCTACATATATGTTATGCTTAGTAGAAAATGTTATTCTAAAATTTAGGACCATTTCTATTGTTTCTTCATTTAGAATTTCTGTGAACAATTCCTGGTTCAAAAACTATCTGTTTTTAGGTACATATATGTTATGTTTAGTAGAAAATGTTATTTTCTGAAAAGAAATTATTCTTAGTCCATTTTCATGCTAAAGTTATTAGTACAACTTTGGTATATCTGAAAATGTTACATATAAAAATTATAAGAACAAAGCAGAAAAAAAGAATTAAATTAAATATACATATTATATTATCATAATGTTATAAATAATTATAAAATCTTATAAAGGGTAGATATAAATATTTCTAAATCATAATATAACTAGAAGTAAAATCTATTTCAATTTGATCATACACATCAGATCGTTAATACAATAATTTTCATGACAAATAGAGCCACATATCAAATAATGTTATCAAATATGTGCTAAAGAATTGAATTGTAAAATTATTCATTAAATGTTAATATAACATTTTACATTCTTTTTTGGGGTAATAGAATCACTCTTATAATAATCAAGTCGACGGCCATTCTGGAATAAATGAGCCGTTATTGAGGTCATTTTAACTTCACTACTCCGAATTTATTTACATATAAATATGTTTAGTATAATTTTAAAACAATTTCTACAAAATATACTAAACATGATTACAATATACTCTATTGAAAATCGTCTCCGATTAAGATATTTTCTATTTTATTCATTTATTGTGCTATTTACTCTATAGTTATTTGAGCGAAATTTAAATATTTAAATTTCATTAATAGTCAATAATTCAGACTAGTTCAATATGGATCATCAATCCACAAAGGTAAATGGTTTGATTTTCTTGCTCTGAGATAAAATATTAGTAATTTAATTACAGTCTCATCAAAATTTGGTGGAATGTATTAATCAATGTTTGCTTGGTTTATTGGAAAATATGTATAGATCAATGCTTTATTATACTTAAATAGATATTGTGTAAATGCAAAGTCTTTCAACAAAACAAAGTTCAATTATATATACACTCATATAAAGTCTAATTGTAAGTATAAAAAATTAGGCTACATGTTTAGTTTATTCAATTCTAACATTATCCTTCAATAAATCTGATTCAAATAAGATTCATAATAAAATCTTAATGTAGGACTCCTTAGAATAATAATTTTAAAAAACCTTCTATAATATTTTTAAAATTTTTTTACAAATAACTCCCGTAAATTGGTACACATGTATTTCAGAGAACATTCTTTTGCATAGCAGTGTAAGTATTAAATTAAGAACGGCACTGATATAAAAGTTACACTGTTCACAGTCATATTCATTTTTTTTATCTAGTATCATTTATTTGATGTTCATTATTGTAATATATTATAATAGATATTTTGATGTATGAGAACAAACAATTAAGTCAAATAAATATTATGTGAGCGATACTATCCAAAGAGAAGCACCTTACATAATTTGATATTCTTTGTTGATGTTATATGACAATTTTTACATTTATTATATTAGATACCATTTAATATTTTTGTACTGTTATAAATTTACAAAATTACAAAACGTAGCCAAAGGCTAGGCAGTTATAATTATTGATTAGGATAATACTGTTATCTTCGATGAGTATAGACTGCAACATGACTGATGTTATTTCAATTGCATTATTTCTAAAGAAACCTTATAAAGCCCTTGTTTTATATTGTTATTCTAATTAAAAAAAAAACGTGACAACAATTATATACAAATATGTCAACAGACAATTTAATTACACTATATTTTTTAAACCATTGTCACCACATAAGATTTTGACTATTCATATTTTTGAATGTGCGTTTTCCAAGTTAGACATGTGCAGGTAAAGATAACAGCATGTTTATGTTATGTACCAAATGATGTTAGCAAATGATGTAAATTGTTCCCTGTTTTATTTAGTTTCCAAACTAACCAATTGGTCAGCTTTTTTTTTAAAAAAAATGATCACAGAGATTCTTCTAAT